TTAGCTTGGTTAATAGCTTGTATAAGATCATTGCAAAAGTGTTGTCTTTGAAGCTGAAGAAGGTACTGTCAGATATCATCGCACACTATCAAGGAGTTTTTGTGAGTGGAAGACAAATTACTGATAAGATTTTAATTGCTAACGAGAGTGTGGAGAACTTTAAGAGGGATAAGAAGAAGGGAGTGGTCTCTAAGTTGGACCTGGAAAAGGCTTATGACTTGGTGGACTGGGATTTCTTGAGGAAAGTTTTGACTAAATTCGGGTTTGGGGCTAGATGGTGTAAGTGGATCATGGGTTGTGTCCAGAATTGTCATTATTCAGTGCTAGTGAATGGGACAGTGGTAGATTTCTTTCCATCCAATAGGGGTGTAAGACAAGGAGACCCCCTTTCTCCTTTCTTGTTCATTCTAATTGCGGAGGTTTTGGGGAAACTGATTCACATAGCAGATTCTAGGGGGCTCATTAGAGGCTGGAGAGTTGGGAGGGTTGAAACCCCCCTCACTCACAGTTTGCTGATGACACGATTCTGTTTTGTGAAGGCGGTAATGTGAGCTTTATCAGGAACTTGAAGTCGGTGATACAACTATTTGAGCAAACGTCCAACTTGAAGGTTAACCTTGGGAAAAGCTGTGTAGTGGGGGTGAATTTGGAGGAGGGAGAGATCAGGGAGAGTGCTGAAGTGCTGGGGTGTGAAGTTTCGGGGTGGCCTTTGAACTACTTAGGGTTGCCATTAGGTGATAATCCCATGAGAGAGAGTTTTTGGAACCCGGTGGTGGAAAGGTTTGAAAAAAGACTGGTATCCTGGAAAAAGAACTACCTCTCTCTCGGTGGGAGAATTACACTAATTAAGGCCACACTTGCTAACTTACCCATCTTTTTCCTGTCGGTGTTTAAAATCCCAGTGAAGATTGCTAACAGATTAGAGAAGCTAATGAGAGATTTCCTGTGGAAGCCAGGAGAGGAGAAGGGGGATCATAGAGTTAGCTGGGAGGTAGTGTGTAGGAATAAGTCTTGTGGTGGTTTGGGGCTTGGGAGTATTAGGAGAAGGAATATGACTCTGTTGGGGAAGTGGTTGTGGAGGTTTCCTATGGAGAAGGAGAAGCTATGGGCTAGAATAGTGGCAAGTATACATGGGYTGGAGCACAATGGATGGGACGCTGGAATCAGAGCTAGGACCACAAGCAATTCTCCTTGGAAAGCCATTCATGACCTGCTACCARTTTTCTTCCCTAATATCAGGTATGACTTGAATTCCGATAACTCCATAAAATTTTGGGAACAAACCTGGGTGGGGAGCGCCCCTCTAAAGGATCAGTTTCCGTCTTTGTATGCTCTTTTTGATTTGAAAAATGAGCTGATCTCGTCTTTCATCACCCCGTCCTCTTCCACTTCTGGGATTGGGTGGAACTTGGGTCTAAGAAGGGAYTTGAGGGATTCAGACTTCAACAGTATTTTGAGCCTTATTGCACTTCTTGATAACGTTGTCTTAGACCCCACTAGGGTGGATTCTAGAATTTGGACACTTACTCCCAATGGCATTTTCTCTTGTGCTTCGTTTTTCAAAGTCTTAAGTCAGTCCACCAGTCCTACCTTCCCCCTTCCCTGTTGGTGAGGTTTGGTGCAGAGCAATACCTTCTAGGGTTGGTAGTTTTTGTTGGGAAGCCTATCTAGAAAGAATCAACACCGGTGATCTATTCCAAAAGAAGAGACCCAATACTTGCTTGTCACCTCAGTGGTGTGTTCTGTGTAAAGCGGATGGGGAGACTGGTTTTCACCTACTGGTGTCTTGCCACTTTGCGAGGTCAATTTGGGATTGGGCTTTCTCCTTATTTGGATGCAGCTGGAATCCTCCATCAGACTTGCAGGGCCTTTTCTCCCCTTCCTTGTTCAGGTGGCGGATAAAAAGGGGAAGGACAATGTRGAGAGGACTAAGGGCTGCAGTATGTTGGACACTGTGGGAAGAAAGAAACTCTAGGATATTCTTAGAAACTCAGAGAGGAGTAGCAGATCTGAGGGCTATCATACATATTAGGGCGGTACAGTGACTGAAATCTTTGGAACTATTTACAGATTACACTGTGGATGAAATGTTGAGGAAGCGGGGTGAAATTGCAAATTGCACACAGACCAAATCAGTAATGAGTGTGGCTTGGACCCCCCCACCTAGTGGATTCTTGAAATTAAACTTTGATGGGTGTAGTAGGGGAAATCCGGGACAATCAGGGATTGGGGGTGTTTTTAGGGATAAAAATGGGGTCATCTCTGCCATGTTCTTAGGCCCAATTGGAGTGCGCGATTCCCTTAGAGCTGAGATCTTTGCAGTTATGGAAGGAGTCCGGAAAGCTAAGAAATTGAACATCAAGAAACTCATAATTGAAGGGGATTCAGAGGTGGTGATARGGTGGYTGACTAAAGATCAAAATGGTTTATGGAAGTACAATAATGAGA